GTGTGTGTGTGTGTGTGTGTGTGTTATATATATATATATATATATATATATACATACATATATACATATTATATATATATATATATGCACACACATGCGTTTTACGTTTTGCAATAATCGTAACAATACATTTACGAGTCGCGAATAAGTCGCGTGCGTCGGTAAAACGGGAGTGCGATTTCGTCGATCAACTTGAGAGTATTGGAGAGAGAGAAAGGTCCTCGATATTATTTTATTAAATAAACCAGAGAAAATTTTACGATTTTCCTTTTGCTACACTTGATTCACTGGGATTCGTTCACTGGGATTTGGTCTGCGCCGCAACAATTCGCTTGCTTCAGACAAAACAGATTATAAAACTGAAAACCGAACTGCAATTGTTAAAAAAGAAAGAAAAAAAAAAGATAAAATATACTGATTAGCATAACATAAATTTTAATTGTTTCTCAAGAGATTTTATAACACGAATTCGAAATAACTAACAAAGCAAGCATATCGTTCCGGCATTAAAACCTCGTTCGCTTTACAATTTGTTTTTTTTTTTTCTTTCGGCCATAAACACACAAAAATATTAATTGTTTTACAACAGTATTTTATAATCGTCAGCCTATTTCTCGAATCTCGACATTAGACACGAAATAATTCTGTGATTTTTAATTCTCGCAATGTAAAACGGATTGAATACGACGCTCTCGGTTGAGCTCTCTGTGACGAATTATTTATTGCCGTTTTTTACCTTATGAGAATAATCTATGAAGAAACACATTCGTCGCCTACGTAACATAATCGAGAAATAACAATAGGGAAAATGTACGAAGCGGACCAGAACGTAAACACTGTATTTTATTAGTACACTTTAAAAATGTTCATTGACACGCCTGTTCGTTTTCCATTCTTTCCTTTTTCTCTTCTCTTATAACGAACCTCGACCAAACGGTGGATAATGCGGTCGGGAGACAGATTGAAGGCAAAGGGCGAAGGGAAACGAGTGACTACAGTTCTTATTTCGAAGATAGACGAGGAAAGGAAATAATAAGACTCGTGAAATCGTGGATCGTAGCGATTAGATTAGAAACACATATTATTAGTCAAAATTGAAACTGCCGTAATTTCGCCTAGAGAAAGGGAAAGAAAGAAAAAGAATGTTTCGCAATTATTTTATAGAGATTAGCCCCATAAATCTACGGCATGGAAATTTAAACTTAGCGAAATTACGCTCGGTTCCAACCATCGCTATCAATTAACTATCATTAATCAACTATTGTGGCTTTTGCGATTTCCGGTGCTCGATCTCGCTCAAAATTCCTTTTTTTCATGAGTCGCTGGATTTAATATCGTTACAGATGCTCTCTCAGCGTATTTATAAACAACACAAACTCTCCTGACATAGAAATCTATGGGAGTGTTGGCGATTGTAGTTATTATCGCATGTCAACTACGAGCGACAATCGTAGCGCCTTCAGAATCATCATATCTAATCATTATTGAGTTTGACAATAGTACATATGTGCACATATATATGTACATATATGTACGCGAGCGCAAGCTGCTTCAACAACACTCCTTAAGATCTGAACGAAACATATAATAAAGTTTGTGTATAGCTATTTATATATGTATGTGTGTATGCGTGTGTACGTGTGTTTATTAACTATATATATATATATATATTTATATATAGTTTTTGTTATTTATATATTTATATGAGCGAATCAATCGCACAAGAGAATGTGAAGAATCTTAATTTCAAAATTCTTACCATTCAAAACCAGCCGAATCTGTCTATTTTTATATAAGTAAAGTGTAAATGAATGTGAGAGCGCGCGCCAGCATATGGATACCGAAGTGTGTGCGGTTTTTTATTTACAGACTGCTGGACGCTCTGCATTTATATTCGGTCAGATTTCGATGACGAAAAAATCGTAGAGTCTTTCAAAGTTTTTCGCTTATCTACCAATTACTGCCTCGTCCCCGGCCTCTAAAGCCACCGCCACCCCAAAATTGTTTGCCTCCGCGTTTCAGTCCTCTCGGCGAGAAATTACCGACTACGGGACCACGCGGTCCCCTGTCCATCCACGGTCCCCGCGGTAGCGGACCGCCCCTGAAACCTCCTCTGCCTCCTCTGGAAGGTGGGGGAGGTCCACTTCGCCAGAGTGGGAAAGGTGCGCCGATACGCGGCCGGAAGTTTGGTCCGTCAAAATCGTACATGACAACGGGATGTGATTCCGTCGTCGGCGTGGTGGGGCCGTTCGGACCAAACGAATCATCGTTCTGTGGCCCGTTCTGTAAGAGAATTCTCTTTTTGCTGGGACTTCCTTCTTCATGACCTTGCTCGTCGCAATTGCCATTCGCCGTTCTCTTCATATCTTTACCTAATGTAGTCGAGTTCATGGATTCATCCATCAATTCCTTTTCCGTAGAATTTATGTCTTGTCTCTGATTGCCCAACTCGTCAGTAGCACTTGTTTTTTCCGCGAGATCGGATTCCGATTGCTCGGTCGTTTCAACATGCTCCTCGCATTCTGAAATAGGAACATGCTGTTGCAGCTCATCACCGATGTTATCCGCCTTTATCGGAATAACTGTCACTTGATTTTTCGACGATGATTGATCCTCCGGTTCGATTGAAGATGATGCCCGCTGCTCATGGTCGGAATCCAGCTGCTGGTAATTCTGTTGCTGTTGATTGCGTTCAGAACTCGGTGTGTCATGTGAAATCCGCCGCGATGTTGAAGAACTTTGACAGGTATCGGAATCACGTTCCGGTTCTGTTTGAGTGTCTGTTTTATTAGGCAGTACCTTGTTATCTTCAAATTCCGGCACGCCAGTCGGCATATTCTCGTCATCGAAAACGCTGACGGTATTAGGTGGTTGTAATAATGGTCGGTTGGGTTCTGGCGGTGACTGATGATGCTGTTGATCCTGTGATCTCGACTTGCGGCTGTTTACTAAATTATTTCGCTTTTGTACATTGTGATCCTCCGAGTATCTGTCTCGACGATTTCTTAAAAATCCCCGACCACCACGATTATTCCATTCGTTTCTATGAAAAGATGGATTATCATGCTGATGTTGAGGATCCGCTGATTGTGAATATCTCCCGCGTCCCGGCGATTCCGTCAAAAAATCCTGCTTGGAACGGATATTGTGTTCTCTATCGCAATATTCAAACTCTTGTTGCGATTGATGAAGCTGGTGAAATTCTTGTTGATTTGGATGAAAATCCTGTTGATTCCGTAAGAAGTTTGGCGGTCTGTTTTGCTGAAATTTCGGTTGATTCGAGTGAAAATCTACCGGCTGTTCTTGGCGAAAACCACCCTGAGATTGAAATTGTGGTAATGGCGGTGGTGGAGGTGGCCCCGCACGCATCAAGTGTACATCTTGCATGAGTTGATTATCGCGTGGGCCAGGCATTTGACCGATGGGAAGAGGAATCATACGCATATCCATGTCATGATGAGATGATGGTGGTGCACCGACACGCATGTCGCGATCCTGTAACCTCAGATCGACGAGAACCCTGCCCTTGGGCTTACTGTCGGTCTCATCATCCGACATTTCCATATCAACACTCTCGACATTATCACCAGGTTGCATGTGTCGCCTAAATTATATAAATTACATAAAAATTTAATATATATAATACAAATATAAATCATATAAAAAAACTAGTATAATTTGTAATTATAGATATATATTCACAAAGTAGACATAATAAAACTTACCGATAATCCTGATCGCCCGTAGACCACAGATTATTGTTATTGGACAAAGAAGATAACGACGAATCACCAAGATTATGGTGATTCGCTGGGCTGCCAGTAAGACTGATCAAATTGCGATGATCTACATCCGCTGCTTTCATCAAACGATATGGTAGCTGATTCTCGCGAGTCATTGGGATTGGAATCACTCTGTAAATAATACAAAAATATATAGTATAATTTTAATAACTGAAAAGTTATGTCAACAATCAAAACAGTCCAAAAATAAAAACAATTTTATTATGGCAAAGTCTGTATTACCTATGATCTACATCTCCTGTAGCATTTAGAGATTCTTGTGCTTGTGGTTCGTTATATTCCACCGGTTCGGCGAAGCCAGCTTTTTCATACATAGGCGGCGATTCAGGAGTCTCGGATAGCATGTCATTTTTCGTCCTGCCACTAACTGACCATGTGGAATCGTTATTGGAATCCCATCTATCTCCATCGCCATCCATCCACGGACTCTTTTTATCGTCGCATTCGCCAGGCCATGAAGGATTCATACTATTTTTGCCTAAACATATAGCAAACATCATATTATACATCTGTGTTATTGTGCAATAATACAGAAGCCAATAATTAGATTCGTTGAACATTTTTAGTTACCTTTTTCTTCCCATTTGGCTGGTTCCTTAATACTCTCATTCGGAGGCGTCCATGTGGGGAATTTCGGTGGCAGTTTATTATAACAATTCTCGTCATCGAGAAAGATAGGCGGTAAAGGCGGCGGAGGTAAAGGATTAACCGTGTTCGCGTTGGTGGAGCCGTCAAAGGGACCAGTCATATTACTTTGACTGTTTTGACTGGAATATGGAGAGGGTGTGTGCGACTCGGCAGGTAGATTGCGAACTGACAACGGGGTACTGTGACTTATCTGGCAATTATTTAACCCACTGCCCCCACCGAGAGAGGGTGTACCCTGATTCATCATTCTTGAGATCACAGGCGTAACGGGAAGCGGTCCTAACGAAGGCGAGTGTCTATAGTTCGGACGTTGCGGCGAATCCACTTGACTTTCGGATACGTCTAAGCCTAAACCAGGAATTCCGCCTGATTCTGATGTTCCATCAGAAGATGGAAGCACCGTTTTCAGAAAACTAGATATATTGAAGTCCGCATTATTCTTTTCATTTTTCGAGGGCCTCATATTGATTACCTCTATTGGTTTTGCCTGAAAATCAAGACACTCGTAAAACATTTTAAATCTCGCAAGATACAATATAATAATTACCTCTAATGACTCATTGTACTGTTGAGACATTCCAGGAGATGCCTCGGTGCTTTCATTAAACAAATTTCTCTAAAGAAAACAAGAAAAAAAAAATAATATGCAATATGTTGAATAACATTCTATTTATGATGCAAAATGTGTTAAACCTTTTTTTATAAAACAGAGCGTATCGCTCTATCTTACCATGTTACCAAAATCTACATTTCCTCCCATGAAAGAAGGAAAATTATTGGTAAAATCCGCCGATTCATTGCCTTGTACCAAGTCAGGTGCAGGTACAGGTATAGGATCATATTCATGAGAATATGAACCATAGATAGATGGCGGCGCTACATCTATCATTCCCGATTGATTATTCGCCGATTGAGTTTCATCTCCTGGTAGCTCTATATCACTGTCGGGACTTGGCGAAGGGGCGTTTATATCCGGCGATGGTATAGGCGAGATAAATGTAGGTAGTAGTTCGTCTAGTTTTTTCTTCAAGTTTTTTACACGACTACCAAAATTTCTATACGCCTGTTCACAAAAAATGTACATTGTAACATGAGAAGTCAGTAATATCGAATCATTTAGCATAATCTGACACTTACATTTGTCACTATTTTAACTTCCCCTCGTTGAGTCTCATAAAACTGATCTGCTTGCTCCAACAAATCAACCACTTGTGTTCTTTCGCTTATTTCAGCTTCTAATGCACGAACATAATTCTCAACATTTCTAGCAACCAAATCTATCTCCTTTTCTGCATCTTCCACGCGTCTTCTGTCCTTTAATGATGCACGTAACTCTTCTGCAGATTCTATATCTATGTTACTCTCTCGTAGATCGCGTAGTCTGGCATCAGTCGCTTGTTCCAGAGTAGCGCAAGATCTCATTGTGGAGATAAGCAAAGCTGCCTGAAATTCTTCGGGCTGTGCAGTTGGTTGAGGTTCTAGTTTTTTCTTCGGTGCTGCCGAGATCAAACCAGATAAATCAGCAAGGAATTCCTCATCATAGACTTGCCGTTGATCCCAGATTTTGAAGATTCTCAATATACGATGCTTTACTTTCTCGTCGCGAACCATGGGTGTCGCACGTTGCAGCGTAGTGCCCCATGATTCCACAAATTCGAAATTTTTCCTCTTCGAATATTGAATTACATCGTTCGCCAAGTAGAACAACGTGAGCCGATGTTCCACTTTCACTATTGCACAAAAAAATAAATCTTATGTATTCTAGAAGTTACTTCAAAATTATATAATTAAAATGATTATAAATCACACAATCGGACACAATCGTGAATGAGTTTTAGAGAGTTCATTACCTGTGATAAAACTATATCCAATATTTAGACTAATGGCTAATTTAACATTTACCTTTCTTCAAAACTTGTAGCCAAGTGGCGACGATCTTCTTGTGATGTTGCCTCCTGTCCAGGCACCAAGCGGAGAGGCCCTGTATGGATTCCTGGGAGTCTTTCAGCGTGTGGAGTCTCCGCTCGAACTGCTCCACGTCGAAATCGTTGCTCGCCATCGCGTGTGCGCGCACGTTAATAGCCGATCACGAAGTCACGAATACCGACAGCGCGGATCACATTGTCAGCGCGGGCCACCGCGAGGGACACGCGCGACGGAGTTCCGGTGTCATAAGCTCGGGCGCGTAGTCTCAACTCGAGAAGCAACCTAACCCTAATCGCGTCCCGCAGGCGAGTGGCAAAATAACGGTGGAAAGGATTAGAAAAACTTTCAGTGGCGCGCAATCATTTCACTCCGAGTGTCGACGGTGTCTTCTCGCGCCGATCCTCTCGGCGGGCACGTCGTTGAGATTACTTCTCGGAGTCCGGAGATTCCGTGTGATTTACACAGCTTCGCATGGGACACGAACGACGAACACCACGGAATGATGACGATAACGACGATCACCACGATCACTATGACGCTAACGACGATTATCACGATGGCAATGACCACCAGACGACGGCGACGACGGAGACGACGGAGACGATGATGACGCTGAGACGATGCGGCGAACGCCACGCGATACGGCCGCACACGCGTCTGTCACTGTCACAAAGACGATATACCGCGAACGGAACTACCGCGAGTGCGACATGTCAACTTACGCGCGAGATCGCTCTCAGAATCTTACGGTACCTCGCCGTGTCTCGCCGACGTGCCGTGAGCGCGAGGATTCTCGAAAACAAGAGTCCGCCATCTTTACTGTCGGTCAAAACACGACCGCGCAATGGCCGGACGCGCTATCCAGTGGCGTAGGCACGTCGCGCGAGGCTATGTCACTGCGTTCTTTAAGTCTGGTCTGTTCGTTTGCACGATTCGCATCTTTCACACTGTGGACCGCATGTTTCACACGGTATAAAAGTATTGTCCAATGGATCATTCACCATTATTTTTAGCATTAAAATTGATTATGTAATCAAAAGTGACCATTTAAATCATTATTCTGTGTCGACTTGTGTGAACGCTGAGCAATGCATGAAAAGATACTTTAAACTTTCTTGTTCCTTATCACTCCATTGGACTATCGTTTCCGGACCGTTGTGTGGGATGGATGTGTTTCGTCTTAAATAATTTTTATATTGCGTAATTTTGTCTTTATTTTTCAAGTAGCCTGTTCTGATCAAGTTAAGATCATTCATCATCGCGGCCAATTTAACAAAGAGAAAGAAAAAGAAAATGCTACACTAAGATCGATATTCATAAATCTCGGTCTACAAGGGAGCGTCCCAGATGCGCATATTTTCAATCGGACACACCACTCACATCAGCCGATGCCTAGGAATTTTCTAGTGAGCCACCTATCAAAAATTTTTTATTTAATCGACCAATCGGCAATGTGTCCGATTGGACCTCACCCTTGTAGACCGGAACTAATCAGTTCTTATATTTAAGGTTGTACACAAGCGCGGCAAAGCGGCAACGCAGTAGCCAATCACCGTCTTGTTTTCTGATATGTAACGAAGTTGCGTATAAGAGTGATAAAGATGGACAATCGTGTCCATATCGTCTCTATCACTCTTGTGTCTAGCACGGAAGAGAACCACAAAATCGTGAATATTATCTACGCGAATAAAATTATAGTAAAAACGCGGCCATACCCGCTCTCAGGTTTCTCTCTATTGGTAGCAAGTTTTATTTTGATAATCGGATGAGATACAAATCTATTTATGGATTCAAATGCATTAGTCGCACATTTCATTTCTATGCAGATTGAACAAAACAAACAATCTAATTAGTAATTCAAATGGATTATGGATAGAAAATAGATTAAAAAGAAAACTTCATTCGACATCGCTCCAATGAATAATTTTCAATATTTTTCAATAATTTCTCGTTTGCTGGGAAGACCGACCGTTTAATAATACATTGTTGTATCATTGTGTCATTATTGATATTGCGTATCTTTATTTCGTTCGTTTGATGCGGCATGCACGTAAATCCGACGAATTTGCAATGGAAATCACTTTGATACTTGTAACTTTTACAAACATGAATCTCATTTTGTCGATAAGCGCGTCCTTCATGAGCTGATAGTTAAAATATCGCATACGTAATATTCGTTATAAATTGTAATTGTAATCAGCATTGTGAATAATTCAAGCATTGCATTATGAAATTCGCGAAGAGGCGACGATCACGCGGTAATTAGCATGTCGTATGCGCCTCGCATGATGCGGGATTTCTCGCACCGGAGATGACGATCTAGGTGATCATTCGTGCCGTGGTAGGGTGCGATTACCGTTTATCATGAGCTGCAAAGCGCTTTGTCATCTCAGTTTCCCAGCGCTTTCGTCGCGGTGATATGAGGTAAGATTAAGGTCCGACGAAAGTTCATCTCGCCGCGCTCGGCTAATCACGACAGTTTCGCGGCAGTATTCGCGTTACGTAGTCGTCATTTTTTTCTCTCTCTCTCTCTCTCTCTCTTCTCGCTTCCTTTCTTTCCTCGTTTCTCTCGCAATTTTTACGTTTCGACACGCGAGAAACGTTTCCGTCCAGCGTTTGTTCAATAGAAATTTCCCAGTGTTTCGCTTGCGTCCGGAGTAACAGGTCAAGATGGTTCAAAAGCCGAAAGTGTACGTGATCGGCGTCGGGATGACGAAGTTCGAGAAGCCCGGCTGCAGGGAGGATTTTGACTATCCGCAAATGGCGAAGGAAGCGGTGACCAAAGCCCTGCAGGACGCGCGAGTGTCCTATAGGAGCGTGCAGGCCGTCTGCGTCGGTTACGTCTATGGCGACTCGACCTGCGGTCAAAGAGCAATATACGAGATCGGGCTCAGCGGATGTCCCATTTACAATGTCAACAACAACTGTTCCACCGGTTCCACCGCTCTCTACCTCGGCAAACAGATCGTCGAGAGTGGCAACGCGGACTGCGTCCTCGCCCTTGGCTTCGAAAAGATGGAGCGTGGCTCCCTGATGTCCAAGTTTACGGATCGCACGAATCCCATGGATAAGCATGTCGGACTCATGGCAGAGATTGCAGGTGAGTTTAAAAATTATAAAATAAGTTGGAACGGCGTGACATTTGAGATGTTCAATTTATTTATCTTGCGACAATCATATAGGTCTTTCTGAGGGCCCTATCACTGCTCAGATGTTTGGCAATGCTGGGATCGAGCATATGAAGAAGTATGGCACAAAGCCTGAGCACTTTGCAATGATTGCATATAAGAATCATCTGCATTCTACCAACAATCCATATTCCCAATTCCAAGAGAGATACACATTACAGCAGATAATGAATTCTCCAAAAATATTTGGGCCACTGACAAAGCTCCAATGTTGCCCCACTTCCGATGGTGCGGCAGCTGTTGTTTTAGCTAATGAGGAGTTTGTTCATAAGCACCATCTAGAGTCACAGGCTGTCGAAATCCTGGCTATGGAAATGTCCACTGATCTGTCTTCGACATTTAACACCCAATCATGCATGAACATTGTTGGGTATGTAAAAAGACAGCAATTATTGTTGAAATCAACTGACAGCTTATCAATTTTATTATAATTCCTTCCAGGTATGATATGACGCGAAACGCAGCTGAGAAAGTCTTCGCATCAACTATTTACAAGCCGAATGATGTAGATGTAGTAGAATTACATGATTGCTTCTCTGTAAATGAATTAATTACTTACGAAGCTTTGGGATTATGTCCTACTGGTTACGGCGGCAAAATGGTGGACGCTGGGGACAATACCTATGGCGGCAAGTATGTCGTGAACCCGAGCGGTGGCTTAATTTCGAAGGGACATCCTTTGGGCGCTACGGGATTAGCACAGTGCGCCGAACTTACTTGGCAGCTTCGCGGTGAAGCCGGCAAGAGGCAAGTGCCTGGCGCAAAATTAGCACTCCAGCACAACATAGGTCTGGGCGGTGCAGTTGTTGTGGGTCTCTATCGTTTGGGCTTTCCGAATCAGATGGTCAAAAAGTACGTGAATGTCGCTGCCGATCCCAGCATATTTCAAGCAAATGTACTATTCAAGACGTTAGCAATCGCAATGGAGGAAGATGAGGATAATCTAATCGAGAGAATGCGCGGGATTTACGGATTTAAAGTCACAAATGGTCCTGGTGGCGCAGAGGGATATTGGATTGTGGATGCAAAAACAGGCAAAGGCAAAATCGAGTATAATGGAAAAACTAAACCTGACGTAACATTCACAATCAGCGACACTGATATCGTCGATTTCATTTCTGGAAAATTAAATCCGCAAAAGGCCTTCTTTCAAGGGAAAGTCAAGATTCAAGGGAACATGGGGCTTGCCATGAAATTGCCCGATTTGCAGAAACGCGCCGCTAAGAAGATCGAGCTGCTTCGCTCAAGATTGTAAGATGATCGAAGTGAAATTGCTAGATTAGCACGAGAAATAAAACACGTTTCTGTTTTTTTCTCTTTTCATGCACTTTACCTTTTTCTATCTATTCTATTTGGCGATCAAAAATGAAAAGTTATCGACAATTTCGACATAATGATGATATGTAATCGTGTAAGCGTGTTATGAGATTCAGATACTCGATAAAGCTTAAATTGGAATAAACAGATAGATAAAAAGAAGCTTTATATATTGATAAATAACAAAAGATCAAATTGACTGATAAAAAGTTATTCATATTCATATAAGCCGATAATAAAATTATTTATGCATTATGCACATGCATAAAATAATTTTACTATTAGCTTGTATGAATATGAATAACTTTTTATCTTACTACACACACACACACACACAACACACACATACACATAAATGTACAGTCTCTAAAATGATACTCAGGACATAGATATGTGGAAGCTCTACAATCTTATCTCATATATTTCCAGAAAATATATCTCACATTTTGAAAAGTATATCTAAAATCATGATAATCGTATAATATTGAGCAATTTATATAAATCTATAACTAAAAATTTTTCTTCAATTGAATTAAAAAAATTAAAGTTGTATGCAGATGAAGAAAATGATTTGTACAATATACGCAATGTCTTCTACTAATACAGTTCATATAATGTTTCTATAACTTAAATGGAACAAGTGATAAATATTGAATAGTCTCATATATTTTTAAATAAAAATAACATTTTATATATGTATAAATATATAAATATAAACAGCTCATCATTTAGCTGTGGTAAATATTAGTGAAAAAATGTTCTCTTTCAATTGAATTCAAAACAATTACATGTGTATGTTGAAATGTGAAGATTGTGCATTCCAATTAAGAAATGAAAGTTACTAATCGTGTTGTGCTATAAATTATTTTTTACAATTCGATTCTTGAATCAGCCATATACCGTTGTAAAAAAGTATAATATAATTGCATTACAACTCTACGGTGCAATTATATGCTGTCGTATAAACGCAGTTATATAAATGCATCATAAGCAGTATAAAATGAATTATATTTGTACTTATCTTTTTTTTATACTTATAGGATAAGTGCAAAATATCTTGTATAAAAAGTGAAATTTCGAATGTGAAATTTTTCTTCGTCTTTTCTTATGTCTATTAAACCAGTGTTTATATTTACCCAAAAAAACAGCTATATTTGATTAATAATCATCGAAAATTTATTAACTTTACGCTTTTACAAAAGCTTTTAAGAAATCATGACGAAAACAAATTGTGTATAAAATGGATTTTATAATTTAAATATTATTTCTGTAAGAAGATACAATTAAGACATAGCAATTATATTGTAAATAGTATCAAGTAGAAACAAAAATGAATTATTTCAAAAATTCAAGATTTATGTTGAAATAAAATTATTTATCCAGTTTATTGTTGGAAAAGTTTCACTTTTTATTGAACACTCCATAATTGCTAAGGATTTTTATTGTAATTGTAGAAGAATATAAAACATTTTTTTATAAATAAAAATTAATACATTTTTATAGGAAAGTGAAAAAATTATTTTTTATAATTTTTCATTTATATATATAAAAATAAGGTGAAGTTAAATTTTAATAATGTGCAATGCGTTTGGACTATATTTTAGTAGGGGTGATTAATAGAGGTAAATAATTTGATGACAACAAAATATTAGAATATCGCATTCAATAAGTTAATGATTTTTATACATCTTGATATACTATATCATATGAATGTATTATATATATTACATAGTATATGTTTGCAATTTTATACTGTGTGATGGAGATGGGTGAAATGTTTGGTGTATTAATAAAAGTTGATAAAATAATTTCTTTCTTTCTTTATGCCCACTTGCTTTGTTTTAATTTTTTTGTTATGTATATATCTCTCGATTTTTCTTTTCTTTTTATTATGAAACTTTTATTCTATTTTATTTTTTTAAATCGCAATTATATAGCAACTGTTTTCAGATTAACATAAATCGTAAATGCAAAATTGATCATCCACTTTCAAAGACGTTTGAAGTGTGACGATTCGAGGAAATTTTCCAAGAAATGAATTTCATCAAGATAAAAAGTAATCTCCTCCGGCCGCGATTTCCCAGATCTGATTGCGACTTGGTAGCTTCCGCTCGCGCAATTAAAAAAAAGTGAATGAAAGCGAAACTTCGCTTCGCGCGTGCACGCACGCATACGACATGCGCTCAAGATGCCTTCGTGCTTCCCTTTATAGCTAGAGACAAATATACACCTTGGCGTAGGTCCAATCGCCCGTATATACCCGCACACAGTCTACGGGAAAAACGGACAAACCCCCGTAATAGCGGAGCTGTGTCAGTGCTATTAGTGACGTCGCGCGCGGCGTAGGAATCTCGAACGTGGACGCGTGTAAAAAAAAAGGAGGAGAAAGAAGAAAAAAAGGAAGAAATGAGCGAGTTCTGCGTATAGGAGCGAGTCGTCTCTCGGGAAAGGGGGCGAGATCGCGAGAAACTACCCCCCCTGTACGATGCGCCTACTGTCCGATTACGTGATTACGATGCGATTACCGTGCTCATTCGGGAAGATGGAAGAAACGACGAGCGCCGCGACGACGAACGCCCGTTTCTGACCGAGCGACCGACAACAGATCTAGGATAAATTTAATTAACACATCCGCCCGCTGCATTTGGGCTGATATCGAGTGCCGATCGAGTGAGTAGCGTGCCGTACAAATACCGCCGCAACGAATTGCGTAAGAGATATAAATCGACCGAGAGGTGGATAGGCATCGGATGGAAAAGGCGTTCAAATGGAGAACGCGATTAAATCTGCCCCGCGCGCATTCCTTCCGGTCCTTGTCTTAGACGTAGACGAGAGAGGAAAAAAAAGGGGGGGAAAAAAAGGGAAAGAGACGGCGTGGCATTGAAATTTTATAAATAAACCGCCGGCGCGCATGGTTCTCCGAGTGCCACGCTTATTACGTGTGTATTGTCAAAAAATATGTGTGGAGACGACAATGCAATTCCATCAATGTGGAAATGTTCGCTTCTGCGGGAAATTTCCTAATGGAAATCTACTTTTCCGAGCAACTTTGATTTTCCTATCCTTTAGCATTCATTCATTGTCAACATTCGTTGGAATCTGTTCGTCACAGATTCAATAAATTACAAGCGCGATTTGTTAAATTAGGAATTTAAAATTGAAAGTCGCTAATCTAACGAATCGTCACGTTACATATATTTGTTTCATAATTGCATTTAATTACATTTTTCCCGAGGAAGGAAATATTGAAATTATACCGATTTCTTTTTGCTCATCGTAGGAATTCTTTTCAATAATAATAGATGTTAACGCGCGAAATTCTTTTTCACAGTTTTGCGAGCTTTTTTAAATTTCATCGAGTTAATAGATATGCAGTTGAGTAAGATGAATAATCTGATTAACAACTCAGCTCGATCGACAGCTAATGCCTTTTGTCGCCTAATAAATGTGTTTGTAATATTGACCGGATTTAAATTGTAAATTCTTTAATTTTTTTTATCGTATTTATGTGTAAACTATGCATTATACATATACATATATTACTCATTTGCCTTATACAACATTATAGAATCATTATCTCAAACAACATTTCGCGAAACAAAATGTGATTTTATTCTTATTTTTAATTAAAATCTTTCTATGTGTCTTTTAAATATCTTCTAATAATAAATATTTAAACATTGAGATATATATGATATTTTCAAATGAATAAAAATTAAACGGAGATATCAAGTGTTTGAAAACTTTATGATCGACATTGGATTGTTCCATTTTTTTTTTAAATCGCATTTATACACTTTCTTTTTCCTCGGGAGTATTTATTTCATTTCGAAATGTAATAAACAACATAAAAAAGTATAATTGAGAAAAAATGATTCGCATATAGGATGCACTCCATGTATTCGTCCAAGAAAGGCGACCCTCTTTGCCCTTTGGGCTTCCATCCGCAGGTTCGATGGCCAACACGTTGCAAACGATGTTTCAGGTAATAAGCAGAAATTTGTTCTGCAAAACTAAGACGAAAAATATACATTTCGAATTAACAATTACGCTCCTCAGGGATTACAAAGAACATGGCGGAAGAAGAAACAGCCTCGGAGACGTCACGTCTTCATCTCCAAGTCTTGCCTCGGATTCACGGTAGGTCCGTCGTCATAAATTGCACGAAATGTTTATTGTTACATAACGCTTTTGTTGTTAGCGTAAGTTAATAAAAAAAAAATATATATATATATATATATATAAAATAATATATCGCAATAGCGACACGTCATTGGTTAATTATGGAGAATCGCGCTGTCGAATAAAAAATTAATTATTGTCACGAATGAATTTTGAAGCGGTTCGGATAGCAAAAGGACATGGTCTTCCGCTACGAATCTGGCGAAAGACGAAACCAAGAATAATCATTCGCATCCGGCGACGACGGCTGGATGGACATCCCTGATGGATCTCTCCGCCATAGATAAGAATCCAGAGGACGCTACCAAATTAGAAAGTAATAAAAGCGAAGTAATATTAGCGACAGCAGAAAAAAAGTTTTTCATCGGATTAATTACCGAAAATTGGCGACTAATGTCAGCTCTTCTTTCTTTTTCCTTAAATCGCAATTAATTTAACGAACGGCCACGTGTCGGCGCAGACGTTAGGAAACCGGCGAAGCTTCAAATAAAAAATGTGATAAGCAACACCAACGGCGGCACTTCGGAAAACGACGTGGAGTTTATAATTCAGGTATCCTCCCCTCGTCTCGATTAACCCCTTAACTGGTATAGCATGGAATGCTTTATGTCGTCGCAGTAAGACGCACACGTACACACACGCAGAAACACGCAAAACACATAAAACGCTTATAAACGTCTTCTTTATACAAAGGCGCCTTGTAGTTGTACAGCGGCAGGTAGCGTAGCGGCATTCAATGATAGAAAAGAGTGAGCAAATGTGAAATTCCATTTTGCGCTCTCATTTTGTCACACCACTTTAGGTAAGGAAATCACGAGCAGCACCGTCAAAACAGGTGGTTCAGGACGGGTTGGATAGTGTCACGGTAAAGGGACAGGACACCGAGAAGGTGAGACGATCGTCGCTTTCGTTACTTGGACATATCACGAAAATCTTACTAAATTAATTATGTCGTCCGTCGTTGTGTGCCGTTGTTCCACGTACTCGTACCAAACACTCAGACTCATATAATATTGTGGATTACGAGGCATTCTCGCGAGACTGCGCCAAAATTTTCATTAAAACGCATTACCTCGTCTATAAATGTCGATTAACTCGTTCAGACATTAACTATGTATGAGTGAGTCAATGTTACGTCTGCAAATGTACATAACTCGAAGAAAAGTTTGTTTAAAGAAAAGATTTAGATGCTGTTTCACATAGCGATACGTGATATCTATATTATCCGAGATATATTCTATATATTAAAATACGTAAGTAATATAACTCGATCGAGGAATGTCGATTAATGATGATATTTACTCTTCGTAGAGTGAAATAGAAAAATTGAGATCTCAGTTAAACGATATGAAAGCGAGATGCGAGAAAGCGGAGAAGGAAAAAAGCGAGATATTGCTGCGTCGATTGACGACGATGGAGACAATGTCGAACAAATCATCGACGGGAGAAGTGGCGAAGCTGCAGAAGAAAAATGAAGGTATCCGAGTTTACGAAGAATTTACAACAAACTTTTTTATTAAAAAAAATTTTTTTTTTTTTATTAATTCGATGCGATACCCGTCGAATAATATATCACGTGCGTGTTTTAGCACTTGTGCAAGAGAAAAATGTACTGCTGGCGAAGATAAAAAGCTTGGAGAGAGAAGCGATCGGCAAACCGTACAGAGGTGAAAGGGATAAAGCGCACGACGAATTACGTTCGAAACTGAAAGCCGCGGAAAATCTCTGCGAGAGTTTAATGGACGAAAACGAGGATATGAAAAAGGAAATTAGACAATTGGAAGAAGAGATTTATGAGCTGCAGGATAATTTTAGGTACTACATTTTCTCGCGCAACAAAGAATATCATGAAATATCCTATTGAGATTTTCTTGTTGGCGTTATGCATGCTGTATATTGTACGTTTTCAGCGGTTGATATAATAATTTTCTTTATATAATTTCATATATAATAAAAAATTATGTAATAATATTCTATGTGTCTATGTACATTATTTTATGTTACAATTTAGTTTTTATTTTTTAAAACTGATGACTACCGCAATTTTTAATATGTACAGTTATTAAAGAAAGTTTTTAATGTAATATACTAATATATTTAATATGCTTGATTCATCGCTAATGGCGAAATGCGACTCGCCTTATAAAGTGAACGATTCAACAAATAACATTTCTTAACATTGTATATTACGTATCAAGACACCAGTATCTCTGTTCCCGTCAATAAATCACTATTGTTAAATTACGATTTTTATAAAAAAAAGAAATTCTTTTCACACTCGAAAGTTTTACTCAACATCTTTGCACACGTGGCAGTGCAATTCTGTTGCATATGCGAGGTCGAACCGTTTTATGCAAAAAACGTGAAAGTCTGTTGTATATGTCGGTAATGACGTGTCTCGAACAAGAAGAGCGAAATCTTTTGCAAAATGAGCTATATGTGGATTGTTGCAGGACGACGATTTGGACAGATTTGAGATGTACGTATGTGATCCCAACACGAACGGCACCCGTCTATTTTTTCACCGATTACGGAACCGTGGGATCTTTATTTGGTAAACAAGTCTGTGCAAAGTTAATAAACTTTTTGAACTTTTTTCGCTTTTATGGGATCACATTTATCTTTTTGCGAACGTCCCAATCGGGAGAAAAGTTTAAGTGACAACGAAAAAAAATTCATGTTAAAATTTCACAAAAAAAAAAAAAATTTCATCACGAGGATCTTCTTATAAAAATCCATTTCTTTCCTAAATTTTATATAAAATTTCTTTCATACCCTTATAAGGAACAGAGATACTTAAACGCGATAAAATCCAAATGATCATGCTACATCGCAACGCACGATGTGTTTTATATATATTTGCAATATAATTTTTGCACATAAGGGACGAACAGGCAGACGAGTATACTCGTTTACGAAAAAGTTTGGAGCAGTCGAACAAAAATTGTCGAATATTGTCGTTCAAATTGCGAAAAGTAGAGCGCAAGGCCGAAGAATTAGAGAACGAACGATCCGCTTTGGAAAAGAAATATGAAGAGGTAAGTATGTGATAATTGTAAAGCAAAATTACATTATATGTAAAATCTTGTTATTTACATTAGGTGAAGAAAACAGAAGAGATTCTGCAGAAACTAAGCGGCGCATTCCAAGACAGAACACAGAAGAAGCCAACGGAATCCACAACAAAGTTGCAACTTAAAAAAATGGTTGACGAAATGGAGAAGGAAATAGGTTTATTGTCTTTTTATGAATTTCGCGTAATTAAATAAATATTTCACTACTATTAACAGATTGTTAACGTTTTAGAGGATATGCTGAGTATTTTTATCAACATTAAAAATGGACACAACGTAGATATATCGAATATAAAACTGAAAGAGAATAATAATTTGAAGTATGACAAACTTTTAAAGGAACATGAATTGCTTAAAGAGAAATTGGAATGTGCTATGAAGGAACTGGCGAGCGAAAGAGAGAAGAAGAAGGTTCAACCAACTGTAAAAGTAGAAGATACCAAAAATACGGATTTGCAAAATGGTAAAAGAGAATAAATTTGAATTAAAAAGACTAATATATATCAATATATTTAATTGCTAAATTTTATTACAGTGAAGAAAAAGTTAGACGAAGCAGTTACTTTACGAGAAGCTGAAAGAAAAGCCTGGGATAAAGAGAAACTGGCGCTTTCGGAAGAAAAAGAAAAATTGAAATCTAAACTTTTATCATTATCGTCCGAGAAATTAAAAATTTATAACGAGGTTGTACAACTAAAGAAAGATCTCGGTAAAATTTGAATTTTATTTTTAATTATAGTATCATAATTTTTCTCATAACTCTTGAATATGTTTAATGTATCGAAATATTATTGATAAGTAATTTTCATGAAATTAGAAACAGCTCAATCGTCGGAAAAAAATGCGGCAAAGATGGAAGCAACAATAAATGAAATAAAAGAAAAACTCTCACAGGAACAAGAAAAATGTAAAAGATTACAGGACGATTTGTCATCATACACAGAAAGAGAATCGAAAATGTCGCAATCAATAACATCTGTAAATATCCTTTTTATTTTTGAATCTTATCTTATTATTTATATATAAATTTTACATAAATTTTAAATAATTTATCTGTGGCATGCTTTTTCCGATTAAAATAGATTGAGCAGATGAAAGCCAAGCTCGACGCTGAGGTAAAACGTTTGAAGAAGGAATTAGAAAATACAAAGTCCACCATGTCAACAAAGATCACCGATCTAACTGCAGAACTTGCCGAGCTTAAACGAGAGAAAGAAAAATTAACGGCGCAACTTAACAGTGAAAACGAGGCACACGAAGCTGAAATAGCGACACTCAAGAAAAAAATAACTTCCTTAGAAAAAGATGGGCTAAATACAAAACGCATAAACGAAATAAAAGAGACTTACAATGAAAAAATATTAAGTATAGTGTCAAAGAATTTTAATTTTAAGATTTAATTAATTTATTTCTCTGAAACATGGAGTTAACGTATTACTATACAAAATTTTTAGATCTTGAGAACGACATTAAGAAACATCAGCGGGAACAAGAGACTCTTACTAAAAAATATCAAGAGCTTACAAACTCAAAGCTGCAACTTGAAAAGAAGAATGAATCTTTGAATAGGTAAACAGCAATTCGACATTAACGATGTGAGGAGTAAGAATTCACTGCCAGCAATATTAAATTGCTTTATGTAATCTTCTTCATTTAATCTTATGTCTTGTTATAGCAAGTGCTCTGAGCACAAGAAGGACTTGAAAAATATGCAAACCGAACTTGAAGAGTTACGTAACTCGATGAGAATAAAAGAGAACGAGTGGCGATTAGAAAAATCTGCTCTTGAGGTACAAAGGTTTCATCGTTATTATTATTAGTATTATTTGTATTATTATATGCTATTAAAAACTTCTATACTTGAAGGATCTTATCTCGTTGATTTATCATTTTAGGGCCAAATTCGTGACAGCCAGTTACCAAACAAAGTTATCGTGGAAGAATTAAATGACGAAATTAATACAATGAAGAAAGAAAATGCCACTTTATTGGAACGATTGGAAGACACGAGAAAAGTGGTAAGTACATATTCTTTATTAATTAATTCTATTTTTTAACAAGGCAAAGAATTAACATTTTGTTATGTATTTTTTATTTTTATATTATTTGAATAATTTTGTAACATTCTTCAAATTTACTTAAATTTCTAATTCTCATTTAAATAAAATGATTTTAATGAATCGAATTTACAGAATGATGACTTGTCTGCAAAACTAAAAGACTATCAAGCAGTTTCCAAAATTCATCAAGCGTTGACACCCGACACCACGGCATTAGAGTCGGAAATTCGAAAATTAAAGAATGCTCTGACAAATATGGAAAAGGCTAAAAAGGCGGATCTCGCGCAGTGTAAAATGCGCTACGAGCATAGAATTACGGCGATCAACGACGAGATACAGGCAATTCAGAATCAATTATCGCGATACAAACGCGAACGCGACACTTATAAGCATATGCTGGAAGGCGCACAAAAAACTATAAGTGAGCTAAAGTCCACGAGACAAGGTAGACTCTCTAATACATCTTCTGGAAAATCGGACGAGGTAAATAATTAATGACTTGTAAACTTAAAATCAATCATGTGCTTATTGATCTTCTTAAGCACTATTCTGATCTGTCTTCTCTATTATTAATTCCTTTTCTACTATATAAGAAATATATTTATTTCTGTTATTTTAGGACGAAGAAACATTGAAAGCCAACGTATTAACGCTAGAAAAACAAATTAGCAGTATGGAAGACGAACTTTCTGAGACAAAGTTAGAAGCGTCCAGATTGAAGGCTGAATTAGTTTCGGAAAAATCAGCTGGTCATGTTAAAGTCTCTGAATTGCAATCCCGAATCAACGAGGCATTTATAAATTATATTTATTAGATAATAAATAAATAATAAATTTCCAAATTTGCTCCTCGTATCCTCATTTGTTTCGTTACGATTTACAGTTGGAGGAAGAGCGATTGCTCACTAGCGGACGTTCGAAGATTCCAGGATTGAAAGTACGCATGGAGCTTGCTTGGCAAAAAGAGAGAGAAGAGCATCAAAGATTATTGCAAGAAACAGCAACGTTAGCGCGAGATTTGCGACAGACATTGTTCGAGGTAATGACTGGCATAATTTAATATGTAAACAAGATGAGACACGGATTTCTTGCGACCGGTACGAGTTATTTTTGCAGATAGAAAGAGAACGCAGCAAAGAGCGGCTTGAAAATAAAAGGAGACAAGATCAGTTGAAGAAAATCTTCGACGAAGAAAAGGAAGAAAACAGGAAGAAATTATCGGAAGTAATAAAAAAAAAAAATCTAAAGCGTTCCGAGTATACTTTGCAATGAATTAAAAAAAAAAAACTGACTATATATAATTTTCAACTTTTAAAATTGTAATTAATTAATTAATTTAGTTACAATGCGACCTACTCGAGCTGCGAGATGCGCACGCGAAATTGAGGACGAGCAACGAGAAGATGAGACGCGAGAAAGAGCGACACGAGAAGGAGAGGCAGGAACTCAAAGAAGTTATACTAAATAAATGTAAACTGGAGCAAACTGAATTGCGGAACATTAACATTCTTATGCAACAAGTGCAGGATTTGTTACAGTTGTTCCCTGAATTAAATACCGTAACCGAGAACGGCACGCCCGATATATACACGCCAACTCCACCTAGACGATTGAAGGTATAACATATAAACATTCGTATATAATTAGATGCAAGAAAAACGATATAATAATTATTAATATCATTTAAAACTACGCTTTAAAACCGTGCCATTTGTAGGGACCAAAATCAAGAGAATCGTCGCCGATGCTGGAAACAAAGGACGACGTGAAAGGTATTCTGAAATAAAAGCTCAATTGATTTTTATTATATACGAATAATTTAATGTTATACTAAACCGTGAGAAATTGCAGCAACCCCGATACTCGGTGAGAGAACAGAGAAGTTAGAGTATACTATTAAAAAATTAATGGATGTGGCGAGGGAACTTAAAGAATCGAAGAAAACGGCAGATGAAGCGAATGCAACACGCTTGAAGAAATTGGGGAAGAGGTGAGTTTTTGAGATTTACAATTCGATTTACAATCCGATCTGTCCAAATTATCGAGTATATATGAAAAATGTTACGTTGTTATTTGCAGAGCGACGTCAGTGGAAAGCGATCCAGGAAAAGGAGTGATGTTGAATCGTAGTAAACCACGTTTGAAGAGAAAGAGTCTTTCTTTGGAACAAACATCTGGGCGTCAAGAGGTGAGTAACAGAATGTTTCATGTATGTAAAAAGTTTCTTCGTGAATTATAGAAAATAGTTATTTCGTGAGATAAAATGATTTCTATATAAACATAACTTTTATTTTTTTACATTTTTTACAAAAAGATTAAAATTTGTTGTGTTTCAATAAATTTCTTAAGAATTGTAATTAACGTATAAAGACCGTATATAGTTTATTTTAAAATTGTAACTTTTCTCTTAATTATTGCAAACTTTTGCTAATTTCCAGTCTCCAGCCATTTGGACAGATAGTAATCTGTCGAGTATGCAATCCTTGGAGGGATCGGAAGTCGAGTCTCGTGGAACTAGTCGACACAGAGATTCCAGTGTAGATAGGTATCAAAATAATATTCGTAATATTACGTAAAATATCTTGCAAAATACAATATCAATAAGATAATGAACATATTCGACTAAATAATTTTTGAAAATTATATTTAGCCGCCTTTCCGGAGGATCGACAAAAAGCGAAATGTTAGATCGAGACAAGAAATATGGCAAGGGGATAATACGAAAATTAACACATAAATTAACTAAATCATCGAGCGTCGATGACCCGAACATGACTGACTACTCGCTTCAGGCAAGAAGGCATTTCAATATTTGGAATTATTTTTGTTCAAATAGAGCATTATTTATTAAAATGATTAAATATTTGACAGACATCTGGTTCTGAAACCAGCCTCAATGAAAGCAGTAAACTGGAAAAGAAGAATTTAAGGAAGAAATTATCAGCCATGTTCAAAAGAGGTTCAAAAGGCAGCAGGTATGCCAAAAAAATGAAAATTAAACTATTTATTTATTTAATAAATATAACGAAATAACTTATTAAAAAAGAAAGACATGATAATGTTTGTAAAAAAAAGTTACGATACCTTTTCAGCATAGAGAAGAAATCTGGATCCGGCAATTCCAGCAGACCTGCTTCGAGGAACTCCATGATGTCGAATTAATAATCCCACATGTTCGAAACTTATTAAGAGACTTGAGGACAAGACATCATGATTATCATTTCCGAAAAAAAAAAAAGATAGTTGATACATTCGATGGCACTGTAATTAAAAGGCGAACTGCTCAAATTCAAAAGTGATTCAGATATACCAGGATAATTACGTAAATTTTACTTTAGAAAAAGTATATTCTTGTATGTTGGTAGTGTCAAATGGACTTATTTAAATCCTTAAAATCACCATTTGCCTTAATATCCAGTATAAATAGTCTCTATTCAATACATCAACTTACGAAAATTTTTCACTAAAAGGATAAAGGACTCGTGCATGATCATGACTGTGTGTATAATATACATATCCTTTGTACAATGTACAATCATTGGGAAATATAATGTACAAAGCTTTGCTGATTGTATCTCGGAATTATTTTAATTGCCTTGTGTATATATCTCTGATCATAAATTGTGATAGATTTCTTGGTATATTTAAAAATCTAGATCGTAATTCAAATATCATATTCTCAATCTATTTTACAGATATAGAGGTATGTATTATGAAACAAGCGTATAAATATTTAATATAACAATAGATGGAATTGTTTTGGACGAACGTAAAGCATCTCAAACATTATATACAATTACATTACGTATTCAACAGATATTTTCATCACATGATTATCAACTGATGATTATTTATATCATTCAAATCGAAGTGATAAAAAAGTGAACAAAAGTCAATGTTTCGAACGTTTCTCTTTCTTAGACTTTTTCTTATGTTTGGGGCTTTTATATTCCTTATGTTCCTTATGCTTATGTTTCTTTTTAGATTTTTTCGCCTTATCTCGCTCCACCCATTTTCCGCCGAGTTTCGAATCCTCCGTAGTTTTCGACACCACAACACTTCGAAATACTGGCTTTAATAACTGGCTGGTATTTCCGGCTTCCGTCGTCATCGCAGGGTTCTCCTGTTTCAATAATCTCTGTGGCAGAGCCGGACCATACATATCCGGTGGTATCGCAGTCGCCGTGTCATCAGATACATCGTTATGATCCGTGAGATCGTTTTGCGATTTATTGGTAGCTGGCAAACTGGTTTCCGAGATTGTAGAAGCCGTGCTTTCATCATTCACGCGTTTCGGTTGCGTCACCAAGCTGTCAAGGTCCAATTTTGCAAAAATACCTCGCGGCGGCGATGTATTTCGCTGAGTATTTATCTCTTTTGGATCTTTCCCGATCAAAACCGATTTGACAGCTTCGCTGTCGACGTTTTCTTCCGTCTCGCTATCAGAATCCTCGCTGCTACTGAGGAAAATTGCCTTAAACAAATCTTTTTTCTCATCTGATTGGTCTTTAAGTGCAGATACCGGTTCTAACACCTCTTCTTCCTTTTCTTCTATTCCCTGAACTGTTTTATTCCCTAAATTATCATCCTCATTTTGTGTGACATTTTTTGATGTTGCGGAAGGAGTACTACGAATACCTTTACCAAAAATTTTCTCATAGGAAGCTTCAAAGATTTTAAACTTCTCGGACACAGGTTCTGAAGATTGATAGATATTAGACGGAATATTATTGGAGGTTGTAATATTGAGAACCGTTTCGTTCACATTTTCTTTCGTTTTCTTTGACAATTGAGGAATTTCTTCCGCTTGTGTCTCAATTGTATCCGTAGCTTTCGTAAATTTAGACGAGCTACACCAATCTAAGGAATCAAAGACCGAGAATCTTGTCGATTTTTGGTTCGTCATGGTCGGAGCGCAGCCGACTTTCGGTTCGGGAATATTGAACCTCTTGCAAACGATACTCGTCGGCTTCCACTCGCTCCGCTGTCGCGTGAGTTTGCCAAACATTTTTAATTTCACTGCTTCTTTTATGTCCTTCTGTGGGTCTGTACTATCCATCGTATGATCAGTGCTATGTACAAATTTATCCGCCATATAATTATTCGATTGCTCCAGCTTTGTCGCTCGCTCGAATTCCTCGCGTTCTTGTTCTCTCTCCCAGTCGGTCATGGAAAGCGGTTGAATACTTTCCAGCTTGTTTTTCTCGTTATTTTTTGAGAAGACAAGGTATTGCTCGAATCGTCTCTGTTTATCTGGATCAGACAGAAACAATTTTGCCGTTTCACTTTTATTCGAGGAATCACTTTCCGTCGATTTATTCGCGTTTAATGTTAACAAAGATTCTTTGAAATCTTCTAACTTCTTTAAACTACCCTTTTCTTGTTCGAAACCGACAACGCCGCCTTTGATAAAATTTTGTGCGTTCAATTTGTCCAACCAAGAATTGCCTATCGTCTTCTGCTGACTCTCCAATTTTCTTCTCTCTTCTATTTGTTGTTTACCATGTAGATTCAAGGTTTTTGAAATAATATTAGAAGCAATAGACGTACTCGTTGGCGTATGCTTCTTCGAACGTTCGTCAGAATCTTCTAAAATCCGCATTCTATCTATGGCATTTAATGGCTCTTTGCGTTTATTATTTTCTACCGGAGCTGTAATTGGCGGGTAAAATCTACTTTTTCTAATAGCATGTATCGGCGTGAAGTCTTTCGGTAATTCTGGAGGTTTAAAAACTTTCTTGCTCTCTAGTCTCTCCTTCGCGCAGACGAAACCTTCCAGGCAATCTGTTTGCGAACTACTTGGTCCATCTTGAGACCATCTCGTCTTCGTCTTACGTTCAGGACCTAAGGCAAAGTCATAACTCGACATATCTTCTTTCTCATATATGTCCTCGTCATCAGCTTCAAAGGCACCAACTCCAAACGCCTGACCGTGAATCGACAATTTCTTATTTTTATCTTGTACGCAAAATGCTGGGGAATCAAACAGATCAATGTGACCAGAAAGAATTTTCCGCCTATCTAGACCAGAATAACCAATGCCAAAATAGTTATCCTTCGGTTTGCATCGAAAAGGCTCATAATCATCAGGTGCAAATGTAATATTAGATTCATCATCAGAATCCTCAGAATTGCTTCCTATCATTTCGGAATTATTTCGTGCCAATAATTTTTCATTACGCAGCTTTAGCTTTTGCTTTTCTCTCTTTGTCAGTCTGGAACCCACACCTTGACCAGGTTTCCAACCCATTTTCTTAAGTAAGATGATACCCACTGTTTCTCTGCAATTATAAACAATAATGATAATTAATGCATTGTTCTGATTCAGTTTCAAGTGAAAATTTTAATAACAATTAGAATTTAAAAATACCAGAGATTAAATAATTTCTACACATACTAACTTAACAGGCTTTAGAAGCTCCTGTAAAACAGGAGTACCAGGAATAGGGCCTTCTTGGTTTATTCTCTCCCTCTTCTTTCCTCTCTGCCCATGATCAGCATAATCATTGGTAGCTCGAATGCCTTTAGGAGCAATTCCAAAGAGACTCGTATCTTCTTCATCCATGAAATCTTCCGGTCGCTGAACAATGTTGTCTGCCTTGCTACTCCTGGAAGATTTGAACTGTTGCGGTCTCCAGCCATCGCGAGTGCCCACAGTATTGAAGTATCCCGCCGAGAAACCACCTGTAAACGCCCCGTGAAATCTACGCCTACCCTGGGCATCATAGGCGTACTGGTCCTCGATAGTAACGGGTTTCTTTCGCGGGATGTTCTCTGCGAGATTGAAATTCACCAATGTAACGCAATGTTAAGGATATTTACTTTTATTTATTACTACTTTGAATCATATACCTTCATCCAAGGGGTCAAGGGGAACGCCGAACGTTGCGTAATTCTCCTCATCCGAATCAGCCATTTCGCCGTACGACTCTCGCAATCTAAGTTTCTCTTTTTTATGTAACTCAAGCGCAACAAAGTCGCAAGCGATTTTCTTGATCGCTAAATCGCAAGCGAGATCGCACGGACGGCGCGACTTTGAGGTTAGAACGGAGACATTCTTGAGTACACAAAACTTAGCAGACAGCTCCGACGTGGGGCGCGCACGTTCATTGGCGATCAAGGATGAAGCAGTGCCGAAACGGGATAAAAAAAAAAAAAAAAAAGAAGAGCAAAAAATGTACCTCGTCTTGATTGGTCGAACACCACGCGAATTTCATGCGCCTCGCCATTCAATATGCGAAAGCCAGGTTAAGTTTATATTTCGCATTCGTCGATCTTGACGTCGGAATCTCGCGAAAGACATAATTAACGCTCAACGGAAATGCAAAAATCGCGCGATTATCCGCTCCGATAAGGTGCCACGCATCCGCGGGAGCAGCTCGTACTTATTTCCGGCCTTAAAAATGTCACGGCGCATTTGCCGGTGTAGATAGCGCGGGCCCGCCTCGAAATTCTCGTCGCGCCTCGAGAACGAATAATATGCACTGATATTCCCTCCAGAATATTCTTAGCGATCGCAACGGTGAGACTCGAGGCCGAGACGGTGATATGGCGATGCTTCATTCGTTACGTTCTGTCGGGAGTAGACTCGTAGCAGCCAGTAAGTGAATTGTCAACTTGTGCTCGCGCCGAAACTATGAGCCTCCCTTTGTCACGTATTATTTCCCACCGCGCATCCTTCCTAGCGTGTCCATCTTTTCTCATGGGTCTTCTACGACGACCTTCTTTGCTATAAATGTTTAAATGTTGCTCAACTCTCGTCTAGTCTGCTCGTAAAATTAAATCCTTTGTATAAGATTACTCACTCAGATTAGTGTTATCTCACGTTCTTCTGGGTGACATAACCTTACTCAATAACGCGTCGTATCCCATGTTCTGTCTCTAAACACAGTCAAGGGTGACACGCGTCTGTGTGCTGTGTTTACTTAACGAAAAATTAATATAAATCTGATCAACAATTTTGAGAGAGGACGGAAGCAGCACTTGAGATCACGCAAAGTAAATATATGTATATTTAAAAAGAAAAATAAACATATTTTTCAAAGAATAATTCATCAGCACGTAATATTTTTTATGTTTCTGGCGTTATCAGTTTCACCGCAAAGATGTCGGAAATATTTGTCAAGGGTTTAACTGATCTTCTGGATGAAGGTAAAACCGTGGAAGCCACGCAATATTTTCTCGAAGATCTTGAGGTTGTTGAAAAATACTTAAAGGATGTTGTGAGTGCCATTGGCTCATATCTTACAAGTTCAACGTTGAACGAAAATGAAGAGGTATTCGATTGCTGTACATTCATGTTCATACGCATAGCAGAAGAATACAAGCCTATGGAGATCATCTTGGAATTCCTAGAACAATTAACGGATGCGAATGATCATGTAAAGTATTCTAGCATCTTGAGTACGTTACATTTTTGTGTAAACAAAATAGAAGACAAGGGCAAGATTATTGAATGGTGTATCGAAGCAATGAAAACATATATCTCAACTATATTCATGCCAAGTGAAGAAGAAGAAGAAGATCCATACAAAGTTATCAACAATATCAGATGGGTATACGATGCAATCTTATATTTCTTAGACCCATTGGTATCTGAGGCAAGAAAAATCAATTCTACACAGAACGAAGGATCTCTACTCGGGGATAGTCTCTTAAGTTTTCTTATTTACCTGTGTGGGAAACCTTTGTGCTACTTGAATAAATATTTCATTGAAGAACCAAAATATAGACGACATGTGGATATTATACTGCATATGGCATGTCGTCTTGCTGATAATGACATATTATATTTTGTGGACATTGTTAGCAAACGTGAAAGAGGTATTTGTGACAAAGCACAATCCATGGAAACTGAAATTTATGGACGTCATATGCTCTTTGAATTGAGTGATAATATACCAAGTTTGGCCTATGCTAATTTTTATTATCAAGTAATCACTGAGGAAAGATATTGGAAAATGGTACCACAAGTGTACAATCCTTATTATATTTTGGAGACATGTGCGTATTTTTTCAAAATATTGTTTTGCAAAGAATATTTAGTTTCTGATGGAATAATTTTCATGGAGACCATTTTAAAGCGTGTTCCATCTTGTTCCGTAAACTCTGAAATGTTGAGACTTGAGATATTTACAGAATTGTTCCATTCAATCATTAATGTGATGACTTATCATAATAATGATACAGACCGAAAAAAAGCAGTAGATATTTTCCAAGAGTATATCAAAATATTTGATATGGAAAGTAGATATAATATTATTTTATATTTATATGAAAATAGTCAGCATTCTGGCTTGCTCAGCGTCATTACTGGCATATTTAAATCTTGTATCATTCAATGTCTGGACTCGAGTCCACAAAATCCCCAATTTCTTGGAAAAAACATGAAGGTGTTATTGAAAAAGGCTTGCAATTTGCCACATGGAAGTAAATCCGACATGGTAGAATTAGGAGATGAAATTATTACTGCTCTGAATTTGTTGAGATTCTTGTTTATTAGAGATACAAATAATGACACGGGTATCTGGAGTATGGCAGATAGTTTAAAAAATGATTTCTTACATCCATTGAGAGAAGGTATAGACTTGTGCAAAGCACATTGGAGAGTGAACAAAAAAGATTTGGAGCAACAGAGAAAGGATTTGCAGAAAAGAAATTTCGATTCTAAGGAATATGATTTTGACAACACGATGAAAGTTCATATAGACATTCCGTTGAATGTTGGTGGTAAAAAATTACCGAACATGCCGCTCCCTGAACAAATTTCCTTTTGTTCTCAAGTGCTAAATGGTCTAGATGTAATGGAAAGTATTCTTGTTCGAGTTAATGAATGCATAGATATACATGAAAAATCCAAGGAAAACGTCTAAAAATATAAACTCTACTTAAGTACAAATAAAACCAACCATGAAAGTTACTATATATATATTATTTAGTTATGCGTTATCAAACATGAAAATTTTTACTATTGTAAAACTGTAATTACAATTTAAGGTTTAATAAAAGATTTTTTAAATGTATATTTGGTTCATCAATTAATATCAGTATGTTTGCAATAATAATGTTAATTTTTATGTCATGGATTTATTTGTAACATATTTAATATAGATACTTTTAAAGATATGTCGATTTTAACAGGTTGTAGACGTTTATGGACTTCCAGGACTTTGCTAGCCGATCAAATTGAAAAAGATAATGTCAGAAAGGAATCGCAAGAATCTACTTATGAAGAAAATGACGAGGAGTATGAGAAAAATATTAAGATAAAAATACTTGGCGCTTCTCTAAAATTTGTTCCTGATATGGGATGGAGCAAACAAGCTATAAGTGCCGGTAATTCACTATTTTTTTTATATATTTTTATAAAATAAAGGTATTAAAAAATCAAAATAGATCAATATTAATCAGTGTTTTATTATAAAATGTAGATGATACCTGAAACATATGTAAATGTCTGTCTCATGCAAAAATCTATATAAAAAATATAGTTCATGATTAAAAATTTAATAACTTTTTTATGCAACTATATTTTCAAATGTAGATTGTAATTATAATTGCATTAAATTTAAATTTATTATACTAAATTCAATTGACTATTGTTTGTCCTCTTAATTTGCCGTCTTTAATATGTGTTATCTTAAAATACAAACGAAATAAAATGATGTAATCGAAAGCTACGTGCCGAAGGTGCTGAATCAATCGGATATCCGGGTGTGATACACGGACTATTTCCAAACGGTGGCGCAGATTTAGTACAGCATTTTTACTTTATATGCAACCAGCAATTAAATCAAATCCTGAAGAAAGAAGCACTGGCCATCGAAGCAAATCCGCCGAGTCGGAAGACACCAGAACAACAAGTTCGCGATGCCGTGGAAACACGGTTAAGAATGGTGATTCCCTACAAGAAAACCTGGCCACAAGCAATGGCTATTATGACCTTACCGCCGAATGTACCGACTGCTTTAGCGAATTTATTAACTTTAGTCGATGATATTTGCTATTATGCCGGCGATAGGTCTGTCGATGTAAGTCGTATCTCTTTATCCATTAAAATAAGAAAAATATCATTCCAAATATTGTATTTTAAACAGTGCACATTACTTTAATTAGATCAATTGGTACGTTAGAAGAGTGATACTAGCAACTATTTACAAAACCACTGAATTGTACATGTTGCAAGATACGAGTGAAGATCACAGAGAAACCTGGCTATTTCTAGAGAGATTAATAAATGATGCTGTACAAATACAAACGGCGCTTTTCATTTCCGCCAAACCAGACGAGACTCTAAACCGTGTTACAGAAACAGCTACTGCTGCTTTTATAACGGTAAATTATTTACAGTAGATTGTAATCGAAATGCTTTGATACATTTTCTATATATAATTACCTTTTCTGTTTTAGGCCCGAAATATACTTGGGTTGAATTAAAACATGTTAAAAATATTTAGGGAATAGAGAAATTCTATAGATGTTCTTAAATAAGAATAATTAAAATATTTCTTAATAAAATTAAAAGAAAAGTTCATTTGGATACCTTCTAATCCTGTATATAACGATATCCTAATCTATGTTAAGAAGGGAAATATTAGTACAGCTAATTTAGATTATACAGTAATATATTTTAACAAAATCTGTACAATAAAATAGATAGTAAATCTAAATTATTTTCATGCAAAATATAAAGATATAAATTGTTGATTATATAGAGCTATATCAATGTTTTTAACAATAGATTAAGAAACAATTTTTCATTTACCCTGCATATTGTCATAATTAAGTATAACCATTTGGAGGAATTATCTTTATATAAATTTTTGTTATTCTTTATATTCTACTATTATAAAATAGCAGAAAAAATCTAAATTTCTACTTATAATAATTTAGTAACTTATAAATTTTATTGCAAATCCCTGAATTATGTAACTTGTAAAACATTCTCTTTTGATTTAATCAAAATAAAATGTTAATTTTTCAATAATTTACAAGTTTTCATCTGCTTTTAGATTCATTGATTTTGAGATTATGATATATGTTCACGATTTGAGAAAAAAAATATTTTATTTAAATTACTTTTGCTGTCATTCCATCATAAAAATCTATTCTATATCATTCTTTCTTCATTAACCTATATCTTATTTGATAAAAATAATTATTAATCTCTCAACATTTTTTATCTGTTAGATTTTAATAATGCGCTTCTTGGATATATCCCTTGATAGTTTTTGGCAAAGGCAACTTGTGTATATTATCTAATCTAGTATATTGACGAATGACAAAACGACAAAGATATTGCAGACTTCTTACTTGCGTGAATCTGCTCACCGGTTTTGTTAATCTGACTGGAAACGACGGATATCCTGGATATTTTGGTCTTGAATAACAAATTACAGAAGACTGGCTGAAGTTCATGGCATGATTTATTAAGGCAGCTACCGAGGTGAAACCTTCGTTTTCAGTGCATTGATTACACAAAGAAAATAGGCCACCACTGTGTTCCATACGTGCATGCAGCATCTTACCAGATGATTTAAAACTGAGTGTCAGGACGTACCTATAGATAATCACATAATATTATTTAGCACACGGAAGTACATAAAATCTTGTACATATTAAATTATACACAAGTTAAATTGTCATATATATACCTATCGTCTGATGAATCCCGAACTAGAAATGCACCATCTGGTTCAGATATGAGTTTGGCATCAGCTTCGTCTCCTGATATGGGACCCCAATACCATCCATATTTACTTAGATTGAGCAACTCCTTTGCGAGACTCGCTTTGACTTTATGTTCATTTAATGTTTCGTTCATATTGCCAGGAAGTTCTGCCATTGCACTAGAAACTGCCACTGTTGCATCAGAATAGATGGGTTGATTCTCTGCTGAATCTGCACTGATGGTTGCGATATCATTTATTGATTTATTTTGCTGTCTTCTAGGAACTATATGAAGATTTATATCAGTCACAATACATTGTGTGTTATCTACATTCTCTTCAATACCATGGCAGAGATTTTCAAGTACATTGCCCAGTCTAATGTCGTGCAAAAGCTGTATGTCAGATGAAGTCTGCTCATTATTTGAAAGTTCTTGTTTTTGGCAAGAATTGCAAGACTTAATAACAGGTATAACGTTATTTTGTATTATACCAGAGCAAGGAGCTGTAATGTCTATCTCTTTGCCCTGAAAAACAATAAGAAATAATTATTTCAAAGAAGATTAATATACATACTGGGCAAATACAGGGACTACCAGAAGAAGAGTAAAGGAAAGATCTTGCTCGAGACGAAGAAAAAAAATAGCGAAAAAGAAAAAGAGTACGCACTCACCTTCTTCTTGGACTTGCACAGATTTTTCAGCAGTAGATGCTTCTTAACGTTACACACGAAATTGAAGAACGACAGCTTGCTGTTTGACGAACCTCTGAATTTACGCTCCGTCGACCTGGTGTCGCTCGTCGAATCCTCCCTCTTATATTCCTGACGTCGTTTCTCTTCATTTCGACGGAGAAGCGTCACGAGCTTCCCGCCCGTGTTCCTAGACTTCCATCGGACGCCTCCATGTCCCGTAGCGGTGCCCGCAGTCGATTCCGGATCGCCGCTCGGATCCGTCATACTCGTACGTGTTAACACCTGAGGCCTCGGAATTCTGAACGAATTATTCTATCCCGCCGTTCTCGTAGCCGCGACACCCGCACACGCCATCTATCACCCGTGGCGTATTCCCCGGTGTACTCGCGAGCTCCCGAGATGATCTTGAACTTTATCTCGGAAACCAGCAGTGAATTGTCAAAAAATCCTGTCGGGCAGATACCAGTGGACGATTCCATTTTTTGCCGATATCATTTAGTGTCTAGAATATCCGACAGAGCACACCTCCATCAGCTCGTGAACCACGAGACAGAGGGTGTTTTCCATTTAATGACACCAGAGAGAAGGCTGAGAATGTCTTTCTCGACCTTTTCCATGAATCGCCCCATATATTAGTATCTCCAAGCCTCCATTTTAGTATATTAGAATTAAATAGCCACTTCTGCTTTCTGAGACTGCCAATAAAATCTCATTCTGGTGTGTGTCGTGCTACTGTCATAATTCGGATCAAAATTTATACAATAATGCATCTATTTACGTTCGCGTAATTTTTTTATTTATTATCGATTTTTTTTATTTTACTTTATTTTTCTTTCGATAATTTCGTCTTCCATGTGTCGCCCTTTTTACAATTTTTCATGATTCTCTTTTAAGATAGGTTCAATTAATAATGTAAAACTCACTAAAAAGAAATTCATTTGGTTTGTTTGTTCGGATGAATACAAGCAGCGCTACATTGCACGCCCCTAAAGGAAAGAATTCAAAATTAGCGTGCAAGATATCTCAAAAATTATTCATCCGACTGAGTTCTCGCTGTGCATACATTTAGAAAAATACATTCCTCATAAATTGAACCTGTATTTGCCATTGTATTGTTTATATGAATAATTGTTATTGTATAATTATATATAATTGCGGTTGCGGTGCGGGTGCGTTGCGGTGTGGTGCGATTATGTCAGTGTAAGTGTCAGCGTCAAAGCATTACATTGACAATTCAGTTCAATGTAGCACAAACCTAGCACAATTCAGTACAACTCTCAAAATAAGTTAATTCTAAAAGTGGGGGCTAACTGCAAATAGGTATTATTGCGTTTTTAATTGTAAGAAAATTTTGCCGGGCAGCGCAATTATATCGTAGAATTATCTATAAATAATCAATATATATATACATAAATACGTGCAATATTTACGCGTCATCAAGGCATTCACGATACCGCGTGTACGTTTACATGCCCTCGACGGATATCGGACGCCATGTAACATGGCGACGCGCGTTATGCAACCGATCGGGACACATGTACGTGCGACGCGATCGGCGTAGAAACGCGCTTTCTAATAAGTCTTCGTTATTTATAGGAAGGAAACACGGCGCACGCGGCCCCGCCGCGACACGTCGTTGGGATGCGTCCATCAACGACGCCTGTCGCTTCCCGTAGATATAAATCAGTCATCGATCGTTTCGCGATTTCTTATCGCGACCTCCTGCGCGCACCTCCTGCGCGGCTTCCGATTACGCGTCCGACGGGTTCTCTCGAGAAACAATGGCTTTCGCTTGAAGAAACACCGGATGTCGCGATGCATCCAGGCACCCTATTCAATATCGTGTAAAAGCGCAGCGGAATTAATTGCTCTTGCAACGCGCTCTCGCGTTTCGCGAAGATTATTTCTCATTAAACGAAAATCGATTTTGTCTTAACCGCTTAATTCGTGACAAAGTAAAACGCCTATTTTTAAAGTTTCTGAGAAGAGACAAAAGCGCAATGAGAAGAAGAGTTTTTATTAGAAAGTGAGAATAAATCGAGCGCATCTCTCATGAAATTTTTGATCTTAACTTTTTAATAATAATAAAAAAAAATACTGCTTGAACGTGTTAACGTATTTATCATTACAAGTGGAGGCAGAAATTCCGCATTCGTAATCGTTAATCAGTAAATTATTAAGCATATTTTATATTCGCATCTTTTGTAGTGTTTAGAAATTATGTGTGGTTAGAAATCAATTTTATTTGTTTTATTTACACTGATATATTTTCCCGAAAAAAAAAGGCGAATATCGGAGGTGGAGATAGAGCGCAGACTTTCGGCGCAAAAAAACTGAGGACTTTTTACTTTCGTGAATTAATGCCTGATTAATTAATGCCTGGAGACGTTACGGTATGAAGTTGATCGCGTTCCGTGACGTTGCCGCGCGATTCGAGATTCGAGCGATTTAGCCGGAGATCGTGCGCGTTAACCGTTACATCACCGTTCTTGAACGGCTCAAGCGTCGCGTTGCGCGACGCTAATCTCCCGCGGGGACACGTTTTGTTTACCAACGGTGTGGTGCCGCGGCTCCACGCATGCATCGACGCGACGCGACGCGACGCGACGGTCGAGGCGCGGCAAGGTGCGGCAAGGAGGGAGAGGCGCGACGACGGTTAGTTAGTGGTGGCCGGCGCGACGGCGGACCGCGTGGTAGGAGGCTGCCGCGATTCAATTTCAGTCGAAGCGCGTCAGGCAGACCGAGCGAGCTGATCGTCAGGGCAGCGAGTCGGCGGGCGCTCTCCTTTCCGCGCCTCGATTTTCAAACCCCCTGGACGGAGAACTAGAGAGAGAGAGAGAGAGAAGGAGTGAGAGGTGGAGAAAGAGGGAAACAGGCGCTCGTGCGCGCCCGCATGTCGCGCGTGGTACCCGCAGGTGCATGAACGTAGCTACGTGTGGCAGCGCGTCGTCCCTTCCCCTCCCCTCTCCGACCAGTTCGCTCGCTACGAGGAAGGCCTGTGTGCGTGAGTGTTGTATGCAGCATCCAGTCGGTTTTTTTTACACCGCACATTCGCGCTCGGCTCGTTCATCCGTCCGTCTGTTTTGCACGTCGCGAGATTCGATCCGTCTTATCCAGAAATTCGAAAGAAGTATATCCCAATTCGCGCGGGGAAACGCCGAACGGCGCGAGTCGATTTTCAAACAACGGCGCAAGAGTGCAAATGGCGGCGGTGGCGCAAAAACATTTGGAGTTTTCGCCGGTCCGCGTGAGGCGTGCCGTATGATCTGTGACGGGAAATCTCGTTTCCGGCGTGAAACTTGCAGCATTATGAGATGGACTTTGGCGATGGCACGTTTATTCGAGTGATCACGTGACTGCAACGATATACCGCAGCAACTGAAACTGGTGTGTCGTATCGATCATGAGCAGCGAGAGTGATCGGTAGGTGGAAAAGGATTCTGATCGCGCGCGTCCGATCGCGAGGATGGAATTCGGGGGCTACAAGGGCGCCGGACCCCGCGTCAGGGTGCGCCGGCGCGCGGAATTGGGCAGGCGGCTCACCAGGAGGCTGTCTCTCGTCGCCAAAATGCCGGCTGCGATCCTCAGCAGGGCGAACCCGCCGGAGCCGAGGCCGGTCGAGATCACGGCGATTGCACCTGACAAGACGCAACTCACGGTGAGTAATATGCACTGTGTATTGACTTGTATCTATATGCGCGCTCGTCCGAACGATAATCTTCGCCGAGAGTTAAATCTCTCATTCGTGATCGAAGGATTTGCAAACGTGCGAGTACATGACTGACGTATGACTCTTTGAAGCCAAGCGAAACTCCATTTTTTATTTTTTCAGCTCTAATATCATAATCAGTTCTAATCTAATCATTTCATTCATTTTCTTTTCTTTATGGAATTTTTCTTTATTTAATTTTTAAAAGGCTCTATTTTGTATTGTATTTAGATGTTTAACATCTAATGTCTAATGGATATTATTTAATTAATTAGTTGTATGAAATAAATCGCATTTGCGTATATACTGATTATGATATAAATTAATATATCGCTTTAAATTTTTGAGCGTTTAAAATACAGTCTCTTAGAGTTAAAATAATTTTCATATATGTAT